TAAAAAAAAACACTCGTTTATATGCAGCTGTGTTTGTCGTCGTAGGTATAAGCAAACCGCTAGTTCGACTGTACTAACTAGCGGTTCCTAAGTTTAAGTTCTAATGACCCCAGTCATGTAACTCTAGCCATGGCCGCGACCTCACTATATATATATATATATATATATATGTGTGTGTGTGTGTGTGTGTGTGTGTGTGTGTGTGTGTGTGGTGTGTGTGTGTGTGTGTGTGTATGGTGTGTGTGCGTGTGTGTGTGTGTGTTGTGTGTGTGTGTGTGTGTGTGTGTGTGTGTGTGTGTGTGTGTGTGTGTGTGTGTGTTGTGTGTTGTGTGTGTGTGTGTGTGTGTGTGTGTGTTACATAATATATATAATATATATATATATATATAGAGAGAGAGAGAGAGAGAGAGAGAGAGAGAGAGAGACAGAGAGAGAGAGAGAGACAGAGAGAGAGAGAGAGAGAGAGAGAGAAGAGAGAGAGAGAGAGAGAGAGAGGAGAGAAGAGACAGAGAGAGAGAGAGAGAGAGACAGAGAGAGAGACAGAGACAGAGAGGGAGAAGAGAGAGAGAGAGAGAGAGAGAGAGAGACAGAGAGAGAGAGAGAGAGAGAGAGAGAGAAGAGAGAGAGAGAGAGAGAGAGAGAGAGAGAGAGAGAAAGAGAAAGAAACAGAGACAAACATTACAGTGTGAGCTCTACGATGCAAATCAATCACAAGAGCAATCACAGCAATATAGGCCTATTCCGAAAACGAGAATTGCATGTAGGCCTACCTTCACTTATTCCCGCCACTAAACCCCCAAATTTACTCAATAAAATCCATCAACTTTCCCCTATTGTAATCCCACCATTGACCTAAAATCCTTTCCTGATCAAAAACTCTGATTATACGTCTTCTAATTAAAAAAGTGTTCATATCCATCCAAAACTCTCTACAGTAATGAACTGATGCCTTATAAGGATTAGATAAACGTCCACATGATTTGACGAATCAAAGTCATCTTAAGTTATCACTGAAAATTATCTACCAGCAATGATGAACAAATGAACACTCTCGACTATAGAACAGCTAACGACACGGAAGAACAAATAGCTAACCTGTATAACAGAAAAAAAAAGTTAAGCACCTGAATGAACACACTTTAACAAAAGGTTTAAGCGCACATATGAACGGTGAAGATGAACACGGATGAACAGATTAAACAAAAGCTGACATAAATAAACACCCGACTACACATATATACCTGGGAAGTCGACCTACATAGATGAACGAAAGAGATAGAACGTAAGAAATGATAAAGGGATGAAAGAGGAACATATGATAGGCACCTGTTGCTGCATTTATTAATATTTCCTCTCTTCCTCCCATATGATTTTTTTTATCATCATCATCATAATCATCATTGTTGTTGTTATTATCATTATTATTATTAATCATTATCATTATTATTACTTATTATTATTATTATCATTATTATTATATTATTATTATTATATTATTATTATTATTATTATTATTATTATTATTATTATTATTATTATTATTATTATTATTATCATTATTATCATTCTCCTCCTCTTCTCTCCTCTCTCCTCCTTCTCCTTCTTCTCCCTCCCTTCCCTCCTCCTTCTCTCTTTCTTTCATCCTCCTCGCCTTCTTTCCTTCTCTCTTCCTCTCTCTCCTCTCTCTCCTTCTCTCTCTCTCTTCTCTCTCTCTCTCTCTCTCTCTCTCTCTCTCTCTCTCCTCTCTCCTCCTTCCACTTCCTCTTTTTATTTATTTCCTTCTTATCCTACTACCCCCTTAATTTTTTTTATTCGTCTCTCTTCCCCCTCTTCTTCACCTCTCCTCCTCCTTCCTCATTTTCTTAATTCTCTCTTATTATTCCTTTCCTAATTACTTACTGAGGAAATGGGTAGTTATGGACACTGTCAAGGCAATAAAGACGAACTACTAGTACAGTAATTAGAGTTTAAACAATCATTATCTTCTCTGTTTTGGTATATTGAAGTTGGTAATAAAACTAAAATATATATATAAGTGGATGGTATTGATAAGTGATATTTAATTATATCAAAACCGCAGCATTGTCACGTCATTCTGTCACGTCGTTTTGATGTGGTTATTCGTCGATTCTGAAGACACACGAAATATGGCAATTGGTTTAACCATCGTTATCATGTTTAATTTCCACTTGTGTGACACTCCTGGAGTCATTTCATATTATATCACAATGCCTCACTGCGTTATAAAATCTATTTCACTGGTAAGTTCGAGTGTGTCTGACTGTCGCCACGATACACATAAAATCATACATAACACCGGAGATACAATACATGACGTAGAATCGCTGTTATTGTGTCACGCTGCTACTATTTTTGGCTCACGACACTGTAGTTCCACCTCCCTGTACACTATTCTCCAAACATCACCAGCAAAATCGCACCATAGCATCACCATTTCCCTCACCTCGTCACACCATCGCGGTGGTGGTGATGGCAGTACCTCAATACCACCGCAAAACCGCACCGCTAACCGCACACCCGCACCGCACGCACGCACACTGCCCGCCGCTGTACTGACACCTTCGAACTACCCAGCCATACCCGCACCTGACCCC